TTGTACAATGGATCGAACACCATTTCGTGTTAACTGGGATTTGTGTGTTTTATGTCAAGGGGAAAATAAAATGACCAGCTTGTTTCACCAGTTAATTGTACTAGAAGAGATAGTTGATTAAGCTATAAAACATTATACACTTAATGTCAGATCCCGAGGGAAACAGTTTCACTAACTGGTTTCTGAGGGACCTAACACTAAGTGTTTTGTTATATTTCTGGACTTTCACTTCAACAGCAACAAAAGAATAACCGGAGTGAACCAAAACAGTCCACTTGATACTTATAACAACACAAATTTAATTCTTAAAACCACTAAATGAAGGATTTACAAAGTACTTTCCTTACATTATCTGCAACTTTTTCCTCCACTAGCTGCTGTTTCTCTTCTGGGATTGACTTTAAAAATCGTTGCTTTTTAGCTTGAGGCTTCGTGTTTGTGTTGTTGTGTTCATTCACGAAAACGAAAACTGTCTGTGAAAGTCTAGGAATACAACAATAGCTGATAATCTACCAAAGTTTGCCTATGCTGGCCAATTGCCGATTCAAGTGCCCTTGTCCTACATGTATTTAGACGAAGGCAAGGGAATTAAGGAAACACTCAGATCTCATGTAAAGCATCGTGGCACATCTTTTCATTTGGCACAAATGCAGCAATGCAAAGCTGACCAGTGCTCAAAAGAGGAGGCATACAGAGGTCAATCTGTATTCTGACGAGGATACTTCCACACAATCAAGTCCAATCAAAACTAGACGTGCCTCACTTGAAACGGCAGCCAAATTTTTGACCAGTGATGACATAAAGTGACGCTTGTTTTGCGAGCAAGAAGGTAAATGATCACAGTAAAATCTGGTCTGGGAAGTAGTAACACAACAGTACTTAGGGATCTTCAACCTGAATATGTTGAGACTATTTTTGTTAATAACTACAAAATGTAACTATCTTTAACTTTTTTGGTTGCGAAAAAAAAGGTTCCCTTTTTGTCCACATAATAAATCCAATAAATCCTTTTACTGACCAAGCTTGTGCCATCTTGATCTCACGCTTAGTCAATAATGCATATTTAACATGCATTCAAACATGATTTACAATATTAGCACTTTTTCTTCTAAAATAATAGCGATTACTGCCAAAGGTAAGTGACTTGCGCACTTTGGTACATGTATCCGCATAACAATTCTGTGGCTTGATTTCTTCTATTATTATCTTAAAAAGGCAAGTGTATATTGTGTTCATGCACTTTCATCCTTGCTTTCGAGAAAAAAGAGGCCAATATATGAACAGGGTGTCCAGTCCCTATTTTTCCCTATTTTTTGAGCATATTACTATTTTCTCCTATTTTTAAACTAAAACCTCCTATTTTTTAGTTGTTGAAGCCAAAATTTGCAAAAATATTGAAAATGGCATCATAGTTGTATGGTGTTTTAGAGTGAGATTTGTCATAAAGCTAGTAGTATGTTGGTTGACTTTGCATTGGTGTTCTAATTGCTGCGGAGCGACCACAGGGAGCGAGCAGCAACATAATCAGGATTTAAGAGAAATATATAAGGGGCAACGAATTCTCGAATTCATCACTTTTTACCACAATGCATTGCATTTAACCACACTTTTTACCACAATGCATTGCATTTAACCAGAGTGCATTGCGCCACGAACAACTCAAATAAAAACACGGGGAAGTTCGCATCGTTCGCTGGCTAGACTCGGAGTTTTCTTTGTAGCAAATTTTCTACAGCACGGTTAGAGATCTTACCAAATTTAAGACACACAGGAGTCTTTCAGATGAGTACGATGATTAACTTGGGGATTGGATTTCAATTCAAGAGCCTTTGACTCGTCCAGGTGTTAAACCTGACGAGAAGATGAGCATTTGCTCTTCGACTCCGCAACACGGGGCAGATACAAATTCCAGCTTGCTAGAAAGTGATGAGAAAATGTCATGCCATGCTATTCTTAAGAACCTGTATGAGCCGCAAATGGATGTGATTTTGACCATTCGCTTCAAAATAACAGCCGAAATCGAGATAACAAAACATATGTTTTGTGTCCTACGTTGCAGACGAGGACGTGTATCGGCGTTTTGAAAAGCATAATTATGTTCTTTCATTCATTAATTACCATGGAATATGCGTTTACATTGTGTTTTTACTGTTAATAGCTCGATTAATGCGGCTGGCGATCATCTTGCCGGCGGAAGTTTCACGTAAAAGGCCTTAAATTAAAGACTTTTCTCCGGGTTACGTAATCAGTCTCTGTGGTGTAGTGGTTAGGTGTATTCGCGTCGAACCGATGGTGCTGGGTTCGAGTCCTACCGACCTCTTTTTTTCCTTCTTTATTTTTTTTTCCGTTTTTTGTGTTGTTGTATTCTATAAATATATAGCTAAATAACTGTTACTTAATAAAGTGCAATAAACAGCAAGAAAAGTATCGTGTTTCTAGAGAAAAGATAGTACACTGTATATTAAAGATATGGATAAACAATCTGAATTTGTATCATTTTTTACAATTTCCTTTGGGAAAACCAGAGTTGATAACCACTTGATCATTTTCTAAACAACGTTCCCACGAGTTCTTTCTATAGACTGATAGTAATTAATCTAGTACTTTTCAACATGTAAATAGGACATTCAATGTCATTTTCGATGCTTTTAAGTCCCACTGCCTAACTAATGCCAGTATCAACAGAATGTGCCGCAGCATTACTATCTTTTAGATACCCTAGTTTTAAAATAATAGTTACATTTGTTCTTTCCATGACCTCTATTGCCCATTAGAGTTCTGGTAGCATCTTTGTTATAATTATTGTTACTTTTTGTATAATTTTCTAGTGCACCTACATGTACATGTATTGTATGAAATGTTATAGTTCTCATGACTATTGAATAATATTGTGAATAGCCCACTGAAACTGCATTTCAGTCTCTGTACACTTCATGATGTAATTATTTTGAAGTCTTGCTTCCTTTTGTGTTCATATTTGAAACTGAAAACATGGTCATGTTGCCCTTTCACATCACAGATCAGATAAATTATCCAATCAGCTTCTTGTTTAAGGAACCAATCACTAGCTGGATTCTGTATGCTACATGAAAAGAACAGACTCAAGTTTAGTTTACGGCACTAGCTCTCTTGGTGATCGAGTTCTTGTTCTCAGCTATACCTAAGCAACTGACAAAGGATCCAATATTTTGGTTCCGAAACTATTCTTGCAGTCATAGCTAAGCAGAGTGTTACGTTCCTGTTAGAACTTAACCATAACACACTTACAATCTGGTACCAAATAGATCAGTGTCATTTTGCATACACCGCAAAAAGCCTGGTTTGGTACTTAAAACTATGCGGTCTTTTGACTCAATCAGTCATATTCTCAACCAGCTACCATTATTGTAGATTAATGGAAGGAAAGCTTTCCATGGGACTTTTTAGTTCAATATCCTTTAATGACAATGCAATCGTAAGAAATTTCTATCCTAAGAAATTTCAGTCTTAGAAGCTTTTCAAAGATTTGCTGCCAACTTGAAGGGAATTGATCACCTTTGATTATAGAACTGCGCTCGACCTGTTGTCAAGAATGTCATTCTGATTACAGCGTAACTGAGGCAAAAAAACTAAACGTTACTGATCTTTTTCACTCCTTCTAAGCCGCGAAAGTTGGCCTAAATCCTGCGAACGTATAAGCTTAAGGACTCCTGGCCTTTATTATAGCCCTGATGGGGTGCAGGGAGGCTATTTATGTCGACGAAAGTACTATTGATTTTCCTATTTTTTTCCCATTTTTTAATACAAAGTTTCCTATTTTTCCTATTTTCTCAATCCCGAGTTTCCTATTTTCCTATTTTTTTGAGCGACTATGCCGCTGGACACCCTGGATGAAGCACAGGCGAGAATCCACACCAGTTTCCATAGCCTTCTCCCGTAGCACCTTCTGAGGGGAGGGGGTATCTGTACACAGGTTTCACCCTTCTTATACGGTCAGCTTTTTCGTAATAGATTTATTTTTAACATTAATAACAACTTTCCACGTTGAAATCTGGCCAATATCCTGTCTGAATGAAAGAAAGTTGAGGAACAGAAAAAGAAAGTTGTTGTCTTGTGTTCCCATCCTTGACAAAACGTGAAATAAGGTGACCCAGTGTTATAAGGAACAGAATAGCACATAAGCAATAGCAAGTAGAAGTTTAGTTGGTTTGATAATGCAAAATTCGAAATGGGGGTTACATTTTTACGGTAACTTGCAATTAATTATCACAGGTCACTGGATTACCTTGCTTCAGTTAACACTCAATACTGAAAGACCTCAAACAAAATTTTGTTTCGATCTCATCCATCATCATAGTTTTCTAATCTTTAAACAGGGCAGTGTTTCGTTTAGCAAACCACAGTAAGCCGATTGAGCCATAAAATTACTTCCATTAGTGAAAGAAATACATGTACACGAAGGTGTATCTGACTCACTGAATACTTTATTCTAAATGAATCCGCTATTCTACTACCATTCCAGGTACAATTGTAAGGAACCGCATTAGATCATTCCCATGGATGATGAGTCATTATTCTAGGAAAGATGCTCTGCAGAAGGGGTTCCTCAGCCCCAACCTCAACATCATGCGGATGTATAACCTTTACCTTGAGGACGAGGAGCCACAAGTCCTGGAAAGAGAGAAAGATATAATAAGAGCAAGGCAGGAAAGACGTCCTGTTCCCGAAAAACTAAAGCTGGCAGGGGAGAGCACAGCTATCGTAAGGTTTTTAATTCAGAATTCAATTTAAGGTTCAGACTTCGACGCTCGGACACCTGTACTACCTGTGACAGACGTAACCTTGCTCTTAAGTCTGATCCAGGTGACTTAGTTGCCCATCAGCAGTTGGCCGACCACCAAGATAAGGCGGACAAAGGGTATCAAAATATGCGGGGAGACAAAAACGTGGCCGTTGACAGCTGGAGTAGCTATACCTGTTCTTTATGCACTGCTGCCTACTGTTCCAAAGACACCGTGGATATGGTATCTTTCGACTTCATGCAAAACCTTCCGACGCCAAATCTAACTCACAACGATGTGTTAAAATACAAACGCCGGCTCTGGATTTACGCCTTTGGAATACATGACATGGTGGTAGACCGTGGGTATATGTACATGTAGGACAAGACCGTAGCAAAGCGTGGATCATCGGAGGTGGCCTCCTGCCTTAGGCACTTCTTTGAAACCTATTGGACAGGGGCAAAATGTTTGGTGTCTTATTCAGACGGTTGTGGAGGGCAGAACAAAAATTTGACGGTCCTCGGTCTTTACAGTGAGCTACATCAACAAGGGGTTTATGATATCCTAGATCATAAATTCTTAACAAGATGGCATACCTTTCTGAGAAACGATTCAGATTTTGCCCAAATTGAGAAAAGAAAATCCGGTGCCGTGGCATATTTGCCCAGTGATTGGTGTAAGGTTGTGGAAGAGGCAAACCAGCGGGTGGTACGGATGGAACAAAGGCTGTTCTTTAATTATAAACAACAAATAGAGGGTAAGTATACGAACCACCCATTGTGACCGGCAGTTCAACTTTTAGAGACGTACATTAATGGCTAAACTTTTGTTGGGGTTTAGAATCAAATCCATCCCTGAACGGGTCAGTGTTTATTCATCACCCCAACGAAGTGTGGATGAGAGATACCTATTGTGTGTGGGAATCGTGGAGGAAAGTAAAAATATGGAAGGAGAGGGTTGGGGACGTTTCTCTGGAGCAGCTGTACCATGAGCCTATCGTACCATTGGCCCAAAAGGTACGTGACTTGAAAGAGATGGCTCTTACCCACGTACCTTCACCACAACGAGACATTTACTTAAACTTGGCAAACTCCTACAATGGCTCTGACACAGACAATCAAGACAGCGAAACTTAAGTGTCAAAAAAAAAGAAAATTTCTATGACGAAGTCGTCTGTGAAGGGAGTAACAGTGGTTATGTAATAAAGCCAAAAAATCCCTGTAAAACGACAAGCAGACACCGAAACACAGTGGAATACATCGCAGGTAAGTCTTTTTTATTCATTTTATTGAAGGAATAATTAGATTTAACATTATTTAGCATTCGAAGATCTCAGTATTTATTTCTTAATCAAAGTCTCTTATTTTCAACGGTCGCCTGTAATGAGACACCAGCGCGTCCAGCAGAAAGGTCATGCATCACCTGTTGTAAGTTAGGGGGGTATGGATATTTTCTGGAATCACACATTGCAAATCATGAGGTACCTCCTTGCAGTACTTCCTAGTAAGTGGGCTTGAGAACGTGTGGAAGTGTAGTACAGCAGATGAAGGAGACAAAGTACATTAAGTATAATCTTTCCTTGTTTTAATCATTTAAAATTGAATATTTCCTTCTCGTAAATTGATTAGCTCTAGTTACCTGTGGGCCAGTCCACTGTTGTAAAAGCTCAATAAGAGAAATAAAATATTGTTGTTGTTGTATTGTAAATGTATGTTGTAGTTAATTTTTATCCCAAGTAATCTTTAGTTGTCTTTTGTTTCAACTACATTAGCATGCATTACCATTCCCAACAACAAAGGAAAAACAAAAATTACCTGACATAAAAAATTAACTACAACATGTACATTGTACTATTCTTGGTTTGCAACCATGTGACAAGGCAGCCTCGTTGGATGACAATACAATATTATAGAATTTTTCTTGAAGAATTTACATGAAAATAGAGTTGAGTTCCCAGAGGAGAGAAATGCTTTTTCTCTTGTTATTCAACATGGCCACTGTGACATCATGTGCAAGCCAGCATGAACATAATAATTATTATGGTCACTTTGAACTGTGCAGTAGGGGATGACTATTGACCGGCATTGCAATGCATCTGCAATCCCAATGAGATATACTGTAGATTAAGTTGGCCTTTTTCAGCAGCATTCCTGTTACTGTAGCCTGAGAAAACAGCTGACATTTCATGACACCAACACTAATTTCCATGAGAAATGAAGTCATGAGAACAAATGTAGAAATTCCATACTGATGTGGTTCACTGGTAGTCTTTCTGTGGTTGACGCAAATTTTTCTCTCTACACAACCAATCGGGCACTACCTATAGCTGGGTACTGACGCATCATCAGTATGGAATGTTTGCACTTGCTTCTCAGATGTCATGTCACGGGCAAACCAGTGCTAGTATCACAAAATGTCAGCTATTTTCTCAGGCTATCATTGCTGCTTTAGCTCAATATTAATACATCGGCTGTTGTTTGTTTTCGCTGGAGTTTTTTCTCGAGGGGTTACCGGTAAGACAGCGTATAATAGCTCTTGTGCAGTTTCCATAATAAGGCCATTATGCTGAAGGACTTCAGAATAAAAACAAGAGCTTGGTTCCACAACATCATTACCACTTTCAATATTAATGCAGAGTTGTTTTGCTAATGCCATATTGTTTTATTATCATTCTTATTCCACCCTGGCTGCTTACAATGAAAAATAATATTTAATATTTTGATCATTTCTCAAATTTATAAAGGTCAACAATCATGATCACAGACGAGAGGGACTTGTCGGTTGAAAGCGAAGACGAAACCCATTACACAAGGTGAGAGGAGGTAGAGATACTAATTCATAATTCCTAGCTAACAATGTTTACAGTTTTGTATATATAATGTTAGAACCTCGATTAACAAACAAACTACCATGTGGCGTGAAATTTTCTTGGGATCTAATTTAGGCTAATTTCGCGGATTTTTCTTCGATCTGCAAAAATTAAATCCTGTGAAAATAAACTTGTGCCCAAAAAATTCAGTGAAAAGTCACTCCCTTTTATTTACATTATATTTGTGTTCAGTACCAAACCATACCAGAATGAGCGCAATTCAGTCAAGGACACCGGAGAAATGTGTTTTTCTGCAAAATCTCCAGGGACAAATGGTTTAACTGGTCTTTTTTAGGGACCTTGTTCCTCTTATCAAAATAAATCGAGGAAATTGCATAATAACATTTGGTCATTCATACAAATTCCATGATATGATCAAAGCTATTGACATGGAACATCCTAAAATCACTGAGCTATTGCATTGCCTATACCTAATTATTTTTTATCTAAACAGCATTTTACTAGATCATTTTTCTAATGATTCATTTATTCAAGCCAACTGCAATCATGATTATTACTTTTATAGTTTCTTTCCAAGGACAATATTGGACTGGAACTCTCTACCAAGTGGCATTCGTACTAGTACAAATTTTTCATTATTTAAAGATCACTGTTTCTCCGCTATTAGAAATATTATTGATTGCTGTCATTTATCTGGGCTTCCTCGCCACTCTATCTATTACAAAAGTTAAGTTACTTAATATTACATTTAATTTTGAACTTTTTTTGTAGCTTTTCCTGTAAATTGTGCAATCTTAGTAATAATAATATTTCTTTCTGTAATATTTATTGTGGAAAATGTAAAATAAATAAAAATAAAATAATGAATTGCGGTTTTTGTCCTCCTTAACTTCAACAGGTTTCTCATAAATGCCAGGAAGAAGGCCCTCAACTCCGGGAAACCCACCAGGGGCAGGACAGGAAAGTTCATCCCTTCCAGGATTACAGGTTAAGCAAACTCTTTTAATCTTCATTCCTTTTGGCAAACACCTCAGATAAAAAATTCACAAATTGCAACTTGTACAGAATTTTGCGGCTAGAATCAACTGAGGTTTTAGGTTCTGGAAGCAATAGCAGTTGCCTTATGCCTGCTGAAATGAGATCATACTTCCCAGTAAAAGACATTTTATTTTATAAAGACTCTATAATGACATTTAAGTGTTTTAATGGGCTTGCATCCGATTACCCTGCCTGTAATTTTCTCTATCAACACTTGAAAGACCAGGTCTTGAAATGACTTATCCCCAAATATAGAACAACCAGTGTCAGCATTCTTTCATGTATAGAACAGTTAAGATATAGAATTCAATAAGACTATGACTTTAAAGGCAAAGGCAGTCTTAGTGAATTCAAGAAAGACATCAAACTAGCTTGCCTAGCGACCTGAGGCCTATACCACTTGCTACGCATAATATTTTTTATCCTTTCATAGTAGTTGTTGAACAGCCCTCTTGGGAACGTCTATTAAAGATATGTGTGTACACTGTATGCATATAGGTCCAGACTGTGGCTGCGGGGTGGAGTGCTTTCAAATGGTGGACAAAGACGAGATAAAAAAAATCATAGAACACTTCAACGGACTTGCAGATTACAATCTCCGGAACATTTACATTTACCTGAAGGGTTTGAGCGACGGCTGGGAAATAAAGAGGGTCAGTGTGCAAGGCATGAACAGAGGGGCTGACGCGATAAATGTGCAGAAGAGAAAGTGTTTATGCAAATACTTGGTCCATAGAAAGGAACAGAGGAGAGTCAAGGTAACTTCTAGAAATATTCTGTCAATAAGGAATAAAAGGTTAAATTTCTATATTTTTGTACAGTAGAACCCTGTTAATATGGTCACCAATAGGTGAAAAAAATGTGGCTGTATTAGTGGGATGGCCATATTATCAGGACAGGCTCAAATTTCATGACTTGAGGGCGGTAATGACAAATACACTGTACTGTGCATTTGCATTTCTGGAACAACGTCTCTCATTAATAAACAACCAAAAATTTAATGTAGATATTGTGTACAGTCATTGAAAAAATAAACTACCGGTACTTAAAATTTCCTTTCTGTACACAAAACACTTTTATAACATAACAAAAGTAAAGCCCATGCTCTGATTGGTCAGTTAGCCATCTACCATTTTGCCCTTGGGTGCAGGCCAAAAAACTGAGCTAGTGCCGGCAGGGTGCAAAGAAAATCATTTTTACAGCTTGCCATTCAGGTAAGTCGAAGTTAGCATTTACTAGCCCAGATGTCATTTCAACTAGCCCCAAAAGCTTTTTCACGAGCAGAATTGATTTCGCAGTTCTTCCTTTATTCGAATTACTCAAAAAACATCACTTGCCCATCGGGCAAGTTAAAAATGGAATTCACTAGCCCGATAGCAAAATCCAGTAGCCCCGGGCTATCGGACACTACTTTCTTTGCACGCTGTAGCATGGTAAAGTTGAGGCAAATAGTTAGCAAATCTCCTCTCCTGTCAGAAAAATGCACTGATGAAATCTTACAGCCTAACTCTCCACGGAGAGGAGCTAAGACCATTAGCCAACATCGGGCAACTTAATGAAACAAGTGTAGGCAATTTATTATAATTATTGCTCAAGCTGCTTTATCTTTATATCAGCACTGCAAGCTGACACCACTGGCACGTGCTGGAATGATGGCAGTTCAAGAACGTCACAATAAAGTTGCGTTAAAAACAAATCTTGGGGAAGTCGCATGGAGACTTAAACCGAAAGCAAATAGAGAGTGGTGAGCCCGTGTTTATTGATAAAAACAATAAAACACCTCCAAAGGAAGGGAAGGTGGGATTTACAAGAGAACTAAACCTTCAAACTTGGTGATACAGCTCAGAATGAGATGCAGGACTTTAACAAGACCTTTAGTTAGCTTGACATCTGAGGGTAAGTCAATGATAAATGTTGTTAGTACCATTGAATACAGGGAGTCCATAAGGTGCTCCACGAGGTAAACATGTAGATAATTTTAACTAGCCATACAGAGCAAGCAATATATATTATTTGAGATGCCTGCAGAAACAAAGTCAGTAAAACGCGGGGATGGAGCCAGGGCTGGGGTCTTCCCTTTTTTTAAAGAATGCTTTGTTATACGGTTAGTGTTAGGGTTGGGGTAAGTGTCAATCCTAACCCTAACCCTAAAACAGCGTTCATTAAAAAACAGATAGACTAACCGGCTTAGTTTTGCTAATGGAAGAATGGTCATATAGTAAGATTATTCATTCCTTTAAGCCAATTGGATGATTCAGTGTATTTTACACACATTTCACGGGATTTTGAGACAGCAAATTAGAATGATACAAAACAAAGAGTATGCGAGAGACAGGAGGAGATGGCACACAAATCGGCCAACCAAAGTTACCAAGGAGACGAAGCAAAAAGTAACACCTCAAGTTTTAGCGTCAAATATTCCCAAAACTCGGTCTGTGAAGTAAGTATGGCCTCAATTTCCCTTTTTTATGTTTTTTTTTTCAGATTAGGGATCACATTAACTCCTTTCAAGCTCTAGAATCATATTATTTCAGAAAGGACAACCGGGAAAAAATATTTACCGGTAAATAAGGACCTGTTGATACAGAGAATCTATCACCTGTACCGACAAAGAAATGAACCAGAAGTCTGGGACAGACAACAAAGTATTTTAACGTAAGTCAAAAGGAAGTTACTTTCATAAAATTTTGGCGAAACTAATTTTTGTATATTTTCATCTTGAACCATGCCAATGATGATGAAAAATAGTGATATATACCATTAAAAAAATACACACTTTAACACACTCACTTTATTATTATTAGCAATCTACATTTACATAAAGTCCGTTTCCGCCCGGAAATAGCAGGTGTTAGTTGAGGCGGGCGGAGATAATAGGTACAGCAATCAGTAATAATAAATAAATAAATAAATAATGGTTATCAAATTCATTATGAAGGAAAACTTTCTTTTCTTTTTTTCAACTACTGGTTAGCCAGTACTTGGCACTTCAATGACCTACAGATGTAGTAAGGACATGACATTGTTGAATGAAAAGAGCTCTACTGTAGATATGGTTGGTGTTTATCTGCAGTGTCCTGGGTTGAAAAATGCTCCGTTACAAGGAATCGTGTTGTTTATCTACCTAAGTTTTACAAAGCTACATCAGTCAATAAATATAGAACAATGTACATAATACCTTGTGGCTTTTTTGGGGGGGGGAGGGGGTTAATTGTTGTAGCTTCTATCAAGATCCACATACATGTAACCCCCTAATGACCTCACATCCCCCACACACACACACACACACACAAGTCTTTAACTTTGCATTAAATGGCAACATTCTGGTGGGCAATTCTGTGATCATTGACTAGCTTTGCATCCAGGGAGGAGTGGTGGGTGGAGTTGTAATATTCACTCCATGGTGCATCATGGTGCTTCCAACCAAGATAAGCTCTCACTGTGCATGCCCTCTCGCTTGTTTTAAGGACAAAATTTTATACCTCTCCCATCCATGGGGTGGTGGGGTGGAGTTGTAATATTCACTCCATGGTGCATCATGGTGCTTCCAACCAAGATAAGCTCTCACTGTGCAGGCCCTCTCGCTTGTTTTAAGGACATATACCTCTCCCATCCATGGGGGGATGTGGTGGAGTTGTAATATTCACTCCTTGATGCTTCATGCTTCTCCCATCAAGATACTGTAAGCTCTCGCTGTGCAGGCCCTCTGGCTTGTTTTAAGTACTTCTTTTGGAATGTTGAGTTAGTAAACCAGTAAGCTTACTAATCCCTCCTGTCTCGAGAAATTATATGGTCAATGATCCACCCCTCTCAGTGTGGTACTCAGTGTAAGAAGTTGTAGAAAAATTAATCTCCTAGAGTCTGTACTTACATGTATGTAATTACGATAATTATGTATGAACTTAGTAGCGCTTCTTTTAAGGAAACCCTTTAGTGAGATTATGCTACTCTTCCTTTTAGGATTTGTCATTCTTTCCTAGCACAGCCTCTACATCACAGGAAGACCGTGAAAACATATCAGGATCCACTTCCTCCAGGAACTTGACAGTAACACTGTTAAGCAGTGAATGGAGATCAACGAAAAGACGCTTGTCAACCATCAACCGAGAGCTTGCAATTCAGTTGGCTAAACACCCCAGCGTGGAGGTCATTGTTTATCTTCCTCAGTGCAGTGAAGAAGATAAACGAGTTTCTGCAAGTCACAATGTCCAGCTTATTGAAGCAGAAGAAATGGTAGGTTATGACAACCCAGTAGACTGGTTGTCCTCTCTACTAGACGGCCATGTTGTGGACTGTGTGATACATGTAGGACATGGGGCCATTCTTGGTGGGCAAGTGCACGTTATTAAGCGTCACTGTAACTGCAAGTGGATTCAGGTCGTTCATACAGCTCCTGAAGAGCTTGGTATGTTCAAGTCTTACACAGATGGCATTTCAACTGAGAGGCGAGAAAAAGCACCAGGCTGAGATAAAACTCTGTGAAAAAGCTGATTAAGTTGTAGCAGTTTTGTGCCAAGCTGACTGAAGCTTATCTCCGTGTCTGTGGAAAGGATCAAGATGTTCTTAATCTTAATCTTAATCTTACTCGCCTACGTGTTAAAACATGTGTTACCACAGTTTATTCATCTACTTTATGTGCGATCGCGCTCGGATCCTAGTCAGTCGATTCAATTCCTAGAGCGTGACTCATAAAGTCAAGCCTATCGAAGTTAAATAATTGTAAATAACGAGCGTTCGTTTTCCTTAAATTTGATTCATCGTCGTTCGAGTAAAAACAAGTTATGTAAATATCGCATATTCTGAGTTGCGAATTACACGGTTCTCCAATTACACTCAGTAACCATGAAGCGTACTCATTTCGCGACATTTTAATTCTAATACACTTATTACATGCGGGAACGTGTGGGTTGTCCTAATGACACCCGCCCCTTGATAAAATAATTCACATGTAACTCTTGCTTAACTTCGATGCTTATCTATTTCGCCACCTTAAGTTCGAAATTCCAGCCTTGTTCTACCTAAACTTAGCTGCCCTAATTAATGTGCAAGTTAACCTAAAGGAAAGACAACCGAAGAAAACTTAGCCTAAACTTAACCGGCTTGTTTTAACTAAACTCGACTTAACTTAACTTCGATGCTTATCGACTTTGCGATCATAAGTTCTACCTAAATTAATGTGTAACTTAACCTAAACTTAACCTTTACTATTAAACTTCTGACGTTGCTGTTAAAAATATCAAAGTTCTCTATTTCAGTCTTACTGGCAACGAGCAGGTCCATTCAAGTGGGAACAGCAGCGGAGTAATTGTGAAGCACTCTTATTGCCTGTCTGGTACTGCTCCCAGGCGTCGAATAGTTTCTGTTGGAGTTGCCTGTACTTCCTTCTCTGTATTCTCTTCAACTTCTTGTCTGAAACAAGCTTGATTGTTATTGACGTTAAGCGGGCTTCTCGATGAAGAAGTTCGATTAGGAGGTAAAACTGTAATCTGCATTGGCCACCGGCTCGGCGGTTCAGAGCGTTGTGCCACCCCTCTATGTCGTTGTTTGTCCGGATCGGCTGCTTGAAGACACTCCAATCTTTTGGGGTGAAGATGGTGCTCTCAATCCACTGCTCCTGGATATAGTCAGTAAGATTGCGGAGGGGCTGGGTCTGTGCCTGAACGCTGAGGCGCACGAACATCGGTCTGATCTCGTATTGAGGGAGGAACGGGAGGGCCATGAGTTTCCTGATGAACCGGTACGTTGCTTCATCGTTACTGCGCTTCACAAGTCTACACAAAGACCGTAAACAGTGGTTTGTTTACTGCTCTGCTCGCGCTTTACACGACCACACAAAGACCGTAAACGGTGGTTAATTTCATTTTAATACACATCTTAATGCTCAGTTTTACAAATATCTTTCACACATTCTATTCGTAGACGACCGGGTTCCGCCATAATAAAGTTTTTAAAAACATTCGAACTTAGATGTTTTAGCGCGTTGTTTTTCTAGCCATCGAGGATAGAATGGAAGGAATAATACAAGGAACAAGGACTTTTAATAATTCAGCTTTAAAGCTTCAACATCTGACTCGTAGGCGAACTGACATATAAGACGTAGGCGAATCGACTCTATTCGTAGGCGAACAGACCGTAGGCGAAACGACCCGTAGGCGAAACGACCGGATACCAAAACAAGCCATTGAAGAAAGAAAAACATTCATTGTTCTAGTGTTTGGACGTGGTGACAATGAAGACTTTCAGTTGAAAGGTTATGACATCGCTGCTCATGCTATTGCTGAGATGAAAGACGAGCCACAGCCCTATAAGCTGTATTTTTTTTAGCTCCAAGTGGAGAAGAGAAGAAAGTGAAAGATTTGTTACTCCAGCAAGACATTGATCGCGGTCAACTAACTGTGCGTTGTTTTAATGAACGCAGAGAGCAGCTAGCCCGTTTTTTTTGTGAAGTAGTTCTTGTTGTAATGCCATCACGAACTCAGGGCTAGCTGCCCTTGAGGCTTTATCAGCTGGTCTGCCTGTGCTGGCCAGTAAAAAACTCTGGTCTTGGAGAAGCTTTAAAGAAAGTTCCTTTTGCTTGAAGTTGTGTGGTACAATCAGGAGATCCTAAAGATTGGGCCAATGCAATAAAAGCTGTCTGTGGGAAAGATCGAAAGTTAAGACTTAGAGAGGCAAAGGTTCCTCAAGGAGTATGCCGGGATATGCGGCTGGCAGGATCACTGTAATCACTGTACAGCGCAAACGGTAAGATTTATCTCAGCTCCACTGACACTCTCACTTTCAGGAAGATCTTAATTTATGTATGGATGGTATTTCCAACAATACACATATACCTTGACTATGACCGTTACCATACATGTCTCTTGCATGAGAATCAACACCAATAATTCCCACAGTTAAAATGAATCAGTTGTAGTTTAGAGCCAAGAGTGTTTCAAGTGGCATATCGTAATGATACCCCTCAATTCTGGCATCACCGTGCATGTTACAAGTATAACTTTCGCTGTATTCAAGTTTAAAAAATCGCTCAAACACTGTAACGATTTCTGGCAATTCTGTTAATATTAACATTGATTGTCTTGCAAGCAATGAACAAAGATTTTAATTTATTCATCGGTAGTCTGCTTGGTGCACGACCGCGTCCAGAAAAATGACTAACCTTATTCAAACCAACTGGATTGTAAGGTCTGGTATAAATAAATTTCCCACGAAGAGATCTCAATTCAACTTCTTTTAATTCCTCCACAAAACAATATTCCTTTCTATTATCTGCTATGTGCATTGTTAGCAATGTGTAGCAAATGCTTGACAGACAGTTATCTCTCTCCAGAGTTAAAATTCATCGAGGTCTTGAAAACTCCATTAAACCCCAATCAGCGTCACCTCTACTTTATGTACGTACCCTATTTTAATAAAAAGACTACAACAACGTGTATTCAACTTCTCGTTATCGTTTCAGGGTTTCTGTCGCTGCCTTAAATTACTGTGGAAATGATATAAAAGCTGCTCCCTCTCGGCATTTCAACAGGTGAGTGCTTTGAGTTTATGGGAATCCTAGTTTCTTTGTGAACTGTTTTTTTCCAAATTGGAAACTTGTGCAAACTTGTACTTAGTTTCTTCCTATCTCTACAGGTGATGATAGCAGGCTTTGGGATTGCCAAGTAAACTTTATTGATCATGATTCACATTTTTCTGCTCTCTTTTTTAAAGAGAAGGCGATCCACATTACTCCAATCTAAAATTATCAACGTGGACAATGGGAATCCTGGTTTCTTTGGGAACTGATTCTTTTTTTTGTAGAAATTCGACGGAGTGTATAGGCGTTGAAACGTATTTTGCGTAAACCGCTGACACTCAAACCGATATTACACAATAAATCAGGGAACAGAGAAACGTAGGAATCATACAAATATAAGATTATTAACGTGGACAACGGGAATCCTGGTTTCTTTGGGAACTGATTTTTTGTGGAAATTCGACGGGGTGTATAGGCGTTGAGACGCATTTTGCGTAAACCACTGACACTTAAACCAATATCACACAATAAATCAGGGAACAGAGAAACGTAGGAATCATACAAATCTAAGATTATTAACGTGGACAACGGAAATCCTGGTTTCTTTGGGAACGGATTTTTTGTGGAAATTCGACGGGGTGTATAGGCGTTGAGACGCATTTTGCGTAAACCGCTGACACTCAAACCGATATTACGCAATAAATCAGGGAACAGAGAAACGTAGGAATCATACCAATATAAGATTATTAACGCGGACAAGGGGAATCCTGGTTTCTTTGGGAACTGACTTTTTGTGGAAATTCGACGGGGTGTATAGGTGTTGAAACGCATTTTGCGTAAACCACTGACACTCAAACCGATGTTACACAATAAATCAGGGAACAGAGAAACGTAGGAATCATACAAATCTAAGATTATTAACGTGGACAACGGGAATCCTGGTTTCTTTGGGAACTGATTTTTTGTGGAAATTCGACGGGGTGTATAGGTGTTGAAACGCATTTTGCGTGAACCACTGACACTCAAACCGATATTACACAATAAATCAGGCAACAGAGAAACGTAGGAATCATACCAATATAAGATTATTAACGTGCACAACGGGAATCCTGGTTTCTTTGAGAACTGATTTTTTGTGGAAATTCGACGGGTGTATAGGCGTTGAAACGTATTTTGCGTAAATCGCTGATACTCAAACCGATATTACACAATAAATCAGGCAACAGAGAAACGTAGGAATCATACCAATATAAGATTATTAACGTGCACAACGGGAATCCTGGTTTCTTTGAGAACTGATTTTTTGTGGAAATTCGACGGGTGTATAGGCGTTGAAACGTATTTTGCGTAAATCGCTGATACTCAAACCGATATTACACAATAAATCAGGCAACAGAGAAACGTAGGAATCATACCAATATAAGATTATTAACGTGGACAACGGGAATCCTGGTTTCTTTGAGAACTGATTTTTTGTGGAAATTCGACTGGTGTATAGGCGTTGAAACGTATTTTGCGTAAACCGCTGACACTCAAACCGATATAACACAATAAATTAGGGAACAGAGAAAAAAAACCACAAACCTATTTACAATAAGGAAACAATAAGCATATATACACTTCCGCCGTAAAAATCTAAAATATCGATGGGTAACAATAGCTGTTGAAATGTATTCTGCGTAAACCGGTGACACTCAAACTGATATTACACAATAAATAAGGGAACAGATAAACGTAGGGATACCACTATAATTCATCGGGTACTTTTCAAATTGGAACTCATACTGGAGATAAAAATTTAAAAAACCACAAGATACCCCTCTCAGTGAGGTTCTTTCCAAAGCAAAAACTTGTTCCAACTTTTTAGTTCTTTCATTATTTCTACAGGTAATGGTTGAGTGAATTTTCTTCCAGATTTTCCAACCGGTTTTTCCTTCATTGTCTCTAGCATGTCTAGTGTTGTTGTTTTAGATTGGACACAA